CTGCTGGGCCATGCTGGAAGGATTATTCCTGAGCCTGCTGGGCCATGGTGGAAGGATTATTCCCGAGCCTGCTGGGCCATGGTGGAAGGATTATTCCCGAGCCTGGAAGGACTTTAGCTGCATGAGTCTTCAGGTTCATTTATTAAATGGATAACTATCAAATACGTGGTTTTAGTATTTTCTTCACAAACTGACTTTGCTCATATAAAATGTTCTCCTTTTTCTTTACAAATTTCTGGTAGCACTTCATGTCTGATAGAAAGATATAGTCATTTCATTTTCTTGTTGCTTGATAATTTTTTCTTATAGTTTTAGTTGCATTTTATGTCTTCATATTAAATGCAGTTTGTAGGTAGCACATGATACTTGATATTTATTTATTTATACTTTCCTGTTAGTCAGGACATATTCACTCTAAAGACATTACAGGTCCAGGAGCGCTGCACAGACAGGAACCCCTTTTGGCTCCCAGTCTGTGCTGCTCAACGACTATGTCCTACTGTTCCCTTGGTATTCTTAGGGTGCCGTTTAACTCCTGGGGTATCAACAGCTCCTTGTGTCTGTGTCTCCCTGCTCTCCGTGCCCCGCCCTCCGCACGCTCTACTACACAGCACTTGTTGTCACTCATTTATCTCAGTGAAATTGCTAGAGTAACAAAAAAGCTTCATATTTATTTGCTCTCAAATAGTTTTGCCACTTCTTAACAAGATTCTATTTGGAAAGGTTCCACTTTACTGAAGAATATTTTATTTAGAAATAAAATTAAAGGTAAATGAAATTTTATAAAAATCATTGCAACTGTTCTCCCATACGGAGACTTTCTAAGACTGGATGTGTGTATGTGTATGTATATACACATCCCATCCACTTTTCTCCTGTATCATAACTACATGCTAATTACATTAATAGAAATTGTCACCAAGCCCACTGTGGTCCATTTATTTTTATCTAGTACTGGTACTTCATACCTGGTAATGTCTGGCTCCATCTTTAAAGTCTATTCCATATTAACCCCTCCAGTAGACTTTTCATTTGCTGTTCCTTTTAGGTACTGAATTTCTATTTGCTTCTTTCTCAGGTTCTATTTGTCTGTTTCTGTTACTGATTTCTTTTTACTTATTTAATATTTCTTAGTTTGCTGAAAGTGGTGCTCTGCTTAATCTTTTGGGAAAAATTACAATATCTACTGATAAATTACTGTTTAGCAGACTTAATGTCTGTGCCCCTGTGGAATTAATTTGGAAAGTCTAATTGCTTTTTAAAAACTGTCTTCTTCTAAGTTCCTCTACTTGTACCCAGAGCTTTTCTTCTTCATTAGACCCTGCAGTCAAACACTGCAGAGGTTCTGAACTGGAGGGGCAGTTTTGTTCATTTTGGCAAGTTGCTAGCTGAGCTCCTGAAAGGACAAAAGCCTGAATTTATGCCTTATTAGGATGGATTTGTAGCAAGCTCAGGGTTTTCCCAAAGCCCTTCCTCCTTAGTGGGACTCACCCTGCAAACAGTATTCCTTGTGGAGTCATGTAGGTTTTTAACATATGTGCACGAGAAGCCTTCCTATAATCTTTGGGAGATAAGGCGGACTTTGTGATGTCTTACTGTATTGGACAAGGCACCTGTTACTGTGTGTGCAAGACCTGCCTCCCGCTCCTGTGGTAGTACCCTGTCTGTGGCTACTGTGGAGCACTGGGCCTCGGCTGCTGGAAGGAGGGGCCACACCACTCCATTTCTACTCTTGCGCTCTCTGCCTCCTGCTCCGGCGGCATTGTGAGGAACAACGCCAACATCTCTACCACGAAACTGAGCCAAACTGAACTTTCTGTAAGTTGCATCTGATAATATTTTGTCATAGTAATGAGGAAAAATAATGCGGTGCCTCACTAGGATGGCTCTGCAGCATCCTACTGCATCCCTTTCCTGTTTCCGGTTCTTGCAATCCTCAAGTGACCTTGCCCTGCCCGGACGACACAGCTGTCAGTCATGCGTGCAGGGGGAGGGGGGGGGGGGCCCCCCCGCCAAGCAGACTCCCGGTGCAGTCCAGTCCGTACAGGCTTCTCTCTGGTGCGTTGTCCAGAAGAGTCAAGTTCTTTCAGCCGAACTGAATTTTAATCTTCCCCTTCTCAGCTTATAAGGACTACACAGCTCATGCTTCAGGAGTTTAAAGTTAGACAGGGCAACAGTAAGACCCCAACTTAAATAAAATTAAATTAATTAAAAAGAAGTTATGAGGATGTATGCCCCTATCCTTGACAAATTCCACATGGAAACTTGGTAAACCAACTACATATGGAAGTGAGAAGACAAACTGAAAGGAGTTAGAAACACAGCTTCAAATGCACGTGTCAGGGAAGAGAGCAGGTGAATTCATTCACATGACTGATAACTGATCCCATTTGTATTTCTTGTCTCTTGGAATGCTAAGTATCGCTCTCTAAAAAGGCGGCCATACAGTTAGTACTAGATATTCTTGGTGAACAATACAGTTCTAGTATTGTCTAGTAAACGTAGAAAGTACGAATCATACCTTCAGCCCACGGAAACAAACAATGTCCCCAACTTTATAAATGACTGGAAGGTCTTCATAGTTCCTACTAAAGAGCATGCATGTTAACTTCACATTTGTCTGGTCCACAATTGTTACAACTGAACAATAATCTGGGAAACAAAAAATATTTAACACAGATTAATAAATCTCAAATCATTCATAAAATAAGAATATGCTAATTTAAGAATGTCAAACAAATACTACTCTGCCCTATTACTGCCTTTTAAGAAAATGTGATACCATTCCCAAATTAATCCACAAAAATTAACCTTCAGATTTGTAATGAAACAAAATAAATATGCTATTTTCCTAGAGAACAAATAACTTTTTCATAATGTTAAAAATCAAAAAGCGAGAAAAGCAAATTATTGAGACCAAAAATCCAAAGAAATAAATTAGTGTAGATATTTTTAAATGACAAAATATGTAAGAGTCAATAAGGAAAAAGGAAGCAATGGTGTTCAAAAGGAATAACATTTTCCTTAGGGGAAAAAAGTCTGATTTAAAATATTCCCCTTCTGAAGATACTGACATCTGGAGATTGTGCACCCTACATCGTCAGACTTAAGATTCACCTGCTGACCCTGAAGACACCGGCTATAGAAACAAGAGGCAGGAAATGGGCCAGAGCAGGAAGAAAACTCATGGTTTCCCCAAGTTCTTGGCTTCAAAAGTTACAAACCAAGCGTGAGAAAGGCAACTGCACCTAGGATGCAGTGAGAAGTACAAATGAGCCTCTGCATGAATCAGCCACCGGCAAAGAAGGCCAGGGCAGAAATCCACCTGCTAGAACAGGAAGTCAGCAGACTGTCCAGGAGTTCCATAATAAATAACTGACTGTGGGGAACAGTACCAATACAATCAGTGAAACTCATAACCATTTGATTCTCCTTGCCTTTTTTGTTTTGTTTTGTTTGTTTTTTGTCCAGTGCTTGGTAATGGTGTGTAGACTCTGGAGTTTATTTGGCAATGAGAAAATAGATTGGAATATTTGCCCTCCTACTGAAGAACAACAATGAAAATTTAAAGAAATCAGGGTAGGAGAGGTCTTAGTTGGTGCTTCTATTATTGTGATGAAAATACCATGGCCAAAAGCAACTTGGGAGGAAAGACTGTATTTCAGTTTACACTTCGTCCCTGAAGGAAGTCAGGGCAGGAACCGAGGTGGGAACTGATGCCTAGGCCATGGGTAAACGCTGCTTACCGCCTTGGTCCCATGGCTTTTTCAGAATCCTTTCTTAGACAGCCCGGGGCCACCTGCCACTACCCACACTGGGCTGAGTTCCCCATATCAATTTTCAATCAAGAAAATACCCCCACAGATTTGGCAACAGCCAATCTGATGGAGGCATTTTTGCAATTAAGATTGTTCTCTTTCCAGATACATCTAGCTCTGTGGCAAGATGACAAACACCAACCAGTAGAGGGGGTTATTTCCTAGATTAATATATATATCAATATATATTTATACATATTAATGTGTGTATGTATATATAACCTTGCAACATAAATTTTCAGTGGCAAAATAAATATAAGATCACCAACACCAGCTGAGCTGGTAAGGAACAAGCACAGGACCAAACTGGTCCCTCTGAATGTGGCTGGCAGTGGCATGGCTGGGGCAGACTGAGGGGCCATGGGCAGTGGCACCAGGATTTATCCCTACTGCTTGTTCTGGCTTTCTGGGAATCTATTCTTTTTGGATGGATACCTTGCTCAGCCTAGATATAGTAGGGAGGGCCTCGGACCTTCCCCAAAGCAATGTGCCTTACCCTCCCTGGAGAGTGGACAGAGGCGGGGAGGAGGGTAGATGGAGGGAATTGGAGGAGGGGAAGGAGTGGGAACTTGGATTGGTATGTATAATGAAAAAAGATAGTTTATTTTCTTTCTAAAAATATATAAAGAACTCAAGAAGCTAGACATTAAAATTCTAAATAACCTAATTAAAAAATGGGGTACTGAATTATCAACAGAAGAAGTTCAAATGGCCAAAAGATACTTAAGGTCATGTTCAACTTCCTTAGCAATCAGGGAAATGCAAATCAAAACAACTCTGAGAAACCATCTTACACCTGTCAGAATGGCTAAAATCAAAACCACCAATGATAGATAACCTATGCTGGAGAGGCTGTGGAGTAACGGGAACACTCATCCATTGCTGATGGGAATGCAAACTGGTCCAACCACTCCGGAAATCAGTGTGGCAGTTTCTTAGAAAATTTGGAGTCAACCTACCTCATGATCCAGCAATACCACTCTTGGGAATATACCCAAGAGATGCCCAATCATACTACAAAAGCATTTGCTCAATTAGGTTCATAGCAGCACTATTTGTAATAGCCAGAACCTGGAAACAACCTAGGTGCCCCTCAATGGAAGAATGGATAAAGAAAGTGTGGAACATATACACATTAGAGTACCACTCAGTGGTAAAAAACAATGACATCTTGAATTTTGCATGCAAATGGATGGAAATAGAAAACACTATCCTGAGTGAGATAACCCAGACCCCAAAAGATGAATATGGTATGTACTCACACATTAGTGGACTCTAGCCATAAACAAAGGATATTGAGCCTATAGTTTGCGATCCCAGAGAAGCTAAATAAATAAGGTAAACCCAAAGAAAAACATATATAGATCCTCCTGGAAATTGGAAGCAGACAAGATTGCCGGGCAAAAGTTGGGAGCATGGGGGTGGGGGTTGGGAGAAGGGGAGAGGGGGAGAGAGAAGGGAGAAGGGGAGGGTTGGGGAGAGCTTGGGGGAGTGGGATGTTTGAGATGGAGGAAGGGAGGATATGGGAGCAGGGAAGAAGACATCTTAATTAAGGGAACCATTTTAGAGTTGTCAAGAGACTTGGCTCTAAAGGGGTTCCCAGGAGTCCACGGTGATGTCCCCAGCTAGGTCCTTGGGCAGTAGAGGAGAGGGTGCCTGAACTGGCCTTGAAACATTTATTAGTTCTCAAAGGCTCTGCTTGGCATAGTGTTTAGGGTTTTCTATTTACAAGATTACATTCTTTCAAACACAATTTAATTTCTTCTTTCTCAGTTAATTGCCATTTTTTTTAAATGGCCCAGCCTTCCCCCAACCACTTTGGTTAAGACTAACACCATGTTAAATACAGCAACAAAACACTGGCCACCCCTGGCAAACTGTCTTTTTCTTGACTGGTATTAATTATGCTGTGAGAGACCCATACATCCAGGTGAATTTATGGTAATTTCTTCTGCACTGTCTACATTGGGCTTCTGTAAAGACAATCTTTGATTACTGTTTTAATATTACGTGTATGTTTCTCACAGGTATTTTCTTTGCAGTTAACATGGGGTTCAAGTAATACACTTTACAATAACAGCAATCTACTCTAAAGTTGCAGCCGTTTAACTTCAGTTACATAAATATTCTCACTTCCTCCAGCACACTTTACCATCACAACGTAGCCTACACATATGCTATAGGAATGTCTTTTTCTGTTTAGTTTTCATTTCTCTGTAGACTTGAGAGTGACTGATGTACTGGAATGTTCAGTATGTGGTACCACACTTACCTTCCTCAACAAATGTTACACTTCTGAATGTTTTCACGTCACTTAGCACTTTTCTAAAAAATGTATTCGTACTGTGTTGAACAAGACTCTGGAATCTAAGGACCACATTCACTTCATAAATTAAAATGACCAAAAACACACATCGGTTTCACTAGGCAACTGAAAATCAGGATGGACACTGTTCTCAGACCCAGGACACTGACAGCATTGTGGCCCTGAGACCAACAATGCAGCTCTTTTCCATAAAACATGCCCATTCTGACACCTACCAGTTCCTTTGCTTAAGTAGGGAGGCTTAAAGAACTTCACAACACCACAGACATTGACAACTGTACCATCTTTAAGTAGATTCAGGGGTGTGTATGTATAAGGTGCTATTGGGACCTAAAGAAAGAAAAGATAGCAAATTTACCAGCCAATTTTTACATTTTAAAATATTATAACAACTGTAAATTACTAAGTTTATACCAATTCATTTTAAAAGATTTATCCTAAAAAAAGAAAGAAAAAGAAAGAAAGAAAGAAAGAAGGAAGGAAGGAAGGAAGGAAGGAAGGAAGGAAGGAAGGAAGAAGTGACTTTCGGGGTGGTATGACTGGAAACAATAAGGCTACCATAGATACCAACTAGCTTTCTTGAAACAATTTTGCTCATAAACAGAAACCAACACACCAGTCTATAAAAGTTTAAACATTCATTATATTTCTTTAACAAGAAAGTACAAAAAAATCCATTAAAATGCAGAAGCTGAAGCAGTAACAGAGAGGAAATTCTCACTTTGAACTCAGTGTCACAGTCTAGGAGCGTCTTCCTGACGGAGAGGACCAAGTGTGTGAAGTCTCTGGACACCCGAGGGCGACCAGACCTCTCTGCTGCCAAGGACCAACAGAAAGACCTGTGCCCAAGCTCGGGACAGACCCACATGCCACCTGATGGCCTTGTTCCTGACTCTGAGATGAATGGGAAGCCACACAGGGATATGAACCACTATCCACCTCACTGCTTACTCAAAAACCCAACCAACCAAATAAATAACAAAACACTCTGAAATTATTAATTTGACAGTCCACTGAAATTAGTCACTATCTATTTATATACCTAAGTTACTCTTCAATATAAATTAATAAATGGATTTTTCTGATAGTCATTCTCTTACAAACTGGGTTAATGTACTCGAATGGAAATCAACTAGAACATTATATATAAATTTACATAATAAATACAAATGAGTTAATTTTTTCCCTGGCTGACAGTAAAATGTGATTTCCTAAGAGGAGACTACAGGGGGTCGGAGGCATCAAAATCAGTTTGAACTTAAGAGACAAATGCTGTTAGGGGAGAGTTAACAGGGTAGGTGGGGCAGAGATAAGCAAATGTGCATCAGCAGTAGGTGGTACAGGGAACAAAACCACAGAGCAAGCAGAACTCACAAGCCCTTGTACATAACCTACACCAGAGACCTGCAGGCAGTCTGCCGAGCCGGAGTCTAAGATCTGTAACAACAGGCATGTGGTATTACAGCACCCTACCTTGTGTTTGGCTGACAATGTGACCTCACATTCCCTTTCCTGACAGTGCCTCCTAAGGCATGTTACTGCTCTATGACTACCTCTAGAAGACTAGAATGTTCCTGTCCAATAGGACCTAGCAAACACAACGGCAAAGGCAGAATTTCAGTGTAACCAGTGCAGCTATGAAGTAAGACCAGGCTGTGATGCTGCATTCTCTGGCTCGAGGTAGGGTCTCTTCGTGAGACCCAGGCTGTGACGCTGCATTCTCTGGCGTGTGGCAAGGATGCTTATTTACTTTGTGTGGTTTTGAGGCAGGGTTTCTCTGTGTGGTCCTGGCTGTCCCTAGAGTGTGTGTAGCTCATGCTGACCTCACTCTGAGATCCATCTGTCTCTCCCTCCTAAATGCTGGGATTTAAGGTGCACACCACTCCACCAGGCTACAGAGAACTACTTTTATTATTTACTTCTATATTTTTATTTTAATAGTCATACATGACCAACCTCTATGGCATTAGACAGAACAGGTCTAGAAAATCACTTACCCTAAGCTATACTAAAACATGTTCATGAGAAAGCTACAGGCTTTACGTTATGCTATATGGTAATAAACTAGAGATAATCTGATTTTAGCACATTGGTCATCATACTTTACTTCGCAAAGACATGAAAGGCTTGAGAGGAACCTTGTTATACAGTGGGGCATGAGAGTGTAAGGACTGGAGACTGAGGGTGTAGTTCAGAGGGTGTAGACTGTCACTAACAAAACCTGTGTTTAATCCCTAGAACCAACTATACAAGTAAACAATACAACCACCACCACTGAACCTCACAAACAAAAATAACCTCATCCCTGAACAGCGATGTGGGATTCCCCTCTGTGTGCTGTCAATATATTTTATTACCATTGGTAAATAAAGAAGTTGCTTTGGCCTATGGCAGGACAGAATAAGGCTAGGAGGGAAAAGAAGGTGGAGTCAGAGAGATGCCATGTAGCTGCCAAGGGAGACAAATGCTAGAACCTTACTGATGGGCCACAGCCTCATTGCAATACATAAATTAATAGAAATGGGTTAATTTAAGATGCAAGAGTTAGTTAATAAGAAGCCTGCCTGACCTAACAGGCCAAACAGTGTAGTAATTAATATGGTATCTGTGCGATTATTTGGGTCTGGGTGGCCAGGAATGAAAGAGCAGTCTCCGTCAGAACAGCATTATTAAATGAAATATAATTTAAAGCAGTGTATAAAAGTCAAGACAATATATGCTTAAGAAATGAAAATCCACCAAACAGGGCTGGGAAGATGGTCAGCAGATGAAGCACTGGCCATACATGTGAAAGAAGTACAGCACCCAGGTCAGTGCTGACTGAGTTCGCCGCTCACGAGTAATCACAGTGCTCTGGAGGCAGACACAGAGGACCCTGGGAGTAAGCTGGCTAGCTGGACTAGAGTTCGCAAGCTCTGTGTTTGATAAGTTATCAATGCTTCACAGTATACTGTGGACAGGATTACAGCAAGACACCTACCCACCAGTTGCTGGTATCCACATGCACTTTCTGTGCATAGACAGTGGTTAAAAGCTTCCCTTACTTGCAGAAAGGACCCACTCTGAGTAGCGCATAGTACACCTATAACTCCTGTTCCAGGAGCCCCAAAACCTCTGACTCTGTGCACAGTGCATGAAAGTAGTGCACATAAACTCAAGCAGGCACATGCACGTACACAGAAATGTAAATAAGCACCAAACGCAGGTATTTCTCATATTAACTTTAGCAACACATGGCATCTTCCCAGGTTCACTTAGCTGTGCACATGGGGCCTTTCCAATGCTGCTTTAAATGTCAAACTTTTATAAAACAATGAAAATTTGGCTTAAAAAATGTATCACAAATATAAAGATTTTCATTGATACAATCTGGTACGTCACAATTTAGCACATAAAAACCTAATGTAATACAAACTGACAGAAAGCAAAAGAAAAGAATTTGCCTGTGGTTTAAACTAATAAAACTGCAATGTCTTCAAAAAGTGTTTATGGAGCGCTTAGGCAGAGATATTTATAGATGACGCAGGCAACAAAACAATCACCAGGTAAACAGAGAGCTATAATACAATATCATCATATAAAAAGTGAAGGGATCAGTTTTCCACTGTATTGACACTACTGTAAATGTCAAGTATGAAGAAAGTTAAATTTAAAATCTGTGTATCCTAAATGAAATTAAGTATCACCTTACCAAAGACATTGCTTCTGTGGAAAATCCTCCTATAGACTTCTGAAAACAGAAACGAAAAGGCCAATTTATATTCAGGCTACATCCAACATGATCACAGGCTTTCAAACAAAGTTGAAATTCTCTACGATGTTGCTCACAACTGCCTGTACTCCAGCTGAAGGGGCTGACACCCCCTTTCCAATTGGACACATACGTATACATAATTTAAAAAGGTCTAAGAGATAGAAAATGGAGTTAATACTCAATTTTTCCTCCTGCACAGAACTACACCCAGAGTTTTCCCAAATAACAATCACTTTAACTACAAATTTGATGGCCGTCAAGCTGATTCATTGTTTTGCTATCACAAAACCCCACCTCCATCCACATAAGACCTTTTGCGATACTAAAACCCAGGCTCAACTGTTCCTCATTGAAGTCTTTATCACAGAGGTAGTTTAAAACTGTGGTATGGAAGGAAGTGAAAAAGAAGAAAGAAATGATTTATATTCACAAAGAATAAAGTAAGAGAAAAATCCATTTTCCCTAAAAGGGCCAATTGGTTAACTTAAAATGAACTTAAGTTTCTATCATAAGTACCTGGACACAGAAATACCTGCAATCAGTGGCGAGATCTGAATGTCTAGATTTTTATAAACCTCATTAATAAATGTGCCAAAGGGGCATTTCAAGCAAGGGACTACATCCAGGATGGTGGTCTCATGGCTGAACACTCAGAAGCTCAGTTTGCTAAGCACACACTGCAAAGTTCATGTAGAGGCCGAATCGCCCACAATGCATTTCTCGGTCACTGAGAGATACAAGATCACAGGTTTAAAAGAACCTCATCTCCACATGGAGTTATTCTAAAAGCAGAAACCCAGTTTAATACTTTTTAATTTAAAATATTCAACTGTTAAGGACCCAGAAAACACTGCTCTCACACATTCTGCTTTGGACCTCAAATTGGGAGCAGCAGAGGCCTAATTAGAGACCAGAAGGGCCACAGACAGAGACACCCACTCTGCCGGTTAAGGTGACGTCACTAACCAAGCTCAGACACAGCAGGGGGAGGAGACTAACAGCACAGCCACACTCACGCACAGAGGAGCTCTGTGCTATCTACTGCTTAGGGGAATTTTTTTATTTTTATTTATATTATTATTTTGCTATTTTATTGGGGGTAGTAAATGATTCTGAAGGGGAGAAGAGGGTATTCAAGCCTCTATGTGTCATTTTTATGGCTCATGTGCACTGCTAACCTTTTTATTTCTTCCCAATCCATCTATTATCAGTAATTCTATTCGATGAGAACATTTCAAATTTCACATGTAAATTAAAAACCCAGTTCAACTAAGTAGTTACCCAGACTTACAGAAATGTCATTCTATCCAGTGACTGCCCATTAAAATCAAACATGACAAGAGGGTAAAGGTGCGCACTTACATAAACAGTGAGCAGAAAATCTTCAAACGCTGTCAGACATTGCGTGCTTGCTACCTCTGCTTGCTACTGACAAGACTCCAAATCCAGACACTGCAACGGCATCCAATATGGGAAAATTAGTGTCCATCCATCAGTAAACACATACAACTCTGAGCACCACAAGTCCATGTTCATAGCCTGTCTGGCAGGCAGATCTATAAAGCAGAGTCTGGTTAACCGCAACTTGTTCAGTGCTTACTGAATACGCGAGTCAGACCACAACCTTCCTTAAGAGCCTCCATACTAAGATACAGGACAGCCACAGATGGCTGGAATGCCTGCTCCATGGATCGAAAAGGCGCTAAAAACACCTCTTAGACAATTGTATTTAGTGAGACTTCCAAAATCACCTCTCCACTTATGTAAATGAGCAGTGTGAATGAGTACCTATGAGGAGGCAGCAGACGACATAACAGTAGGAAAAATAGAACTAAAATGAAACTAAACCTAGAGTTGAGACAGCAGACGGAGACAGGGTTATCAGTACCCAGTCGGTCAGACCTAAGAATTGACCTAGGACATCGACAGAAGCACCCTGTATTTTTACACCAGAGCAAATAAGGACTCTGCTTTTGTTTTTAGCTATCAGGACTTTATGCTTTAATTTTATTTCATTGTCTTTTAATTCTTGTCTTTCATAAACTGAAATGATCAGGCTTTTATTTGTTGCATTATATTATTAACTTTACTGATCCAATTTTAGCAACAAATTCATAAGATTGCTATGAAACTCCTGGGCTTCGGTCTCTTTCCACCTTTAGTATGTACCGTGTGGAAATCTGTGCACCGGGCCTGATGCCCACTTCCAGTGCGCTCTATTCACTATGGTGAGTAGTCCCTCAGTCCAGAAAGGGGCCTCCACCTCTCTGCGGCTGCGCTCTCTCAGCCTGCGCTCTCATTGCACCGCTCACAGGCGCAATGCCGTGAAATGCAAAGGAAAACAATCTGCGGACTAGAAGAGCATCGCTATCATGGGGAGCGCAGGACTAGAAGAGCATCGCTATCATCGGGAGCGCAGGACTAGAAGAGCATCGCTATCATCGGGAGCGCAGGACTAGAAGAGCTATCCTTAGAACATCCTTTCTGGAGTAGATACTAGTTACAAGTTTCTGTTTCCTTTGTAAAAATCCGTCTGATGCAACTTGTTCATTTTCCCATAGGCATGGTATGTCTACTTAGTAAAACTTAATGGCTTAAAGAAATAGACGTAGATGGTCTGAAATACCAGTGTTTTTTCCTGTTATACTATACTCATTTGTATTTGTCGAACTCTGGTCGCAGAGAAACAGTAGCCAGAATGGTTGTGTGACAGAGATCCAGCAAACCCATGCCAATTTTGGTTTTGCTCTCCACAGGTTGCATGCTTGGGGGATTTTTAATATTTATACAACCTGGGAATACTGGATTGATGGGAAATTTCTTATGAACCATTAATGCCTTCTCCCAAAAGTACTGCTGCTTAGCTTCCCCGGGAAGTCCTGCGCAGACCACTCCCCCCACTCATCCGGGGAGTCCTGCGCAGACCACTCCCCCCACTCGTCTACTTGAAGGCCTTCCTCATGCCTTGGAGGGTGTGTGGCACATAAAGCAGCCAGAGTTCTCTTTATGAGGCTCTGAGATATTCTTGAAACATCTTCTCCTGGACTTACTCAGGAACAACACAATCAGAGCACAGTACAAGTTTCTTCCTATTATACACTCAGGCAATTACATGACATGTACAGCAACAGAGTTAGATTAGCTGAAGCTACCTCTGCCCCACACAGGGGCTCATCCTGGTGGGCAAAAAATGGTGTAGAAAGATGACGAAAGAATGAGGTGTCAGGGCCTCCCTTTCTTAGATTAGCCCCACACAGCCACTATGATGTCATATGACCACACAGCCAAAGAATGACAGGACTAAAGATACAAATAAAGTCTCTAAGGATGTGAAATGTAAACCTTTTATTATGCTAAAAATTGAATAATTATAGCATCAGCACCGGCCTGAGGATTTTTCTTCGGCCTACTGACAACTGGCACTCTGACCATTAAGAGCAATCTGCCTGGGCTAGTTTATAGATTTTCTTTCTGTCTAGTATCCTTGAAGCTACAAGAGTTGCATAGAAGTTGGGCTGTGATTGATGAGGGAAAATGACTGTAAAAGATAATTCTGTTCAAAGGCAAATATGGTGTATGGATATTAGACATTAACCAAATGATAACCACAATCCATCCCCAACTCCACCCATAAAATCTCTCAGGGAGATCCTTGTGACTCCTCAGTCCCTTCCTCAGGAGCCAGCCTCTTGGGGAAGGTGAGAATCAAACAGGAGGGTTACGGAGAGAACAAAGAAAAACAGATAACTCTGTTCTATCACGGCTTATTAATGATAACTAAACGGAGATATGGAAAACAGATAACTCTGTTCTATCACGGTTTATTAATGATAGCTAAACGGAGATATGGAAAACAGATAACTCTGTTCTATCACGGCTTATTAATGATAACTAAACGGAGATATGGAAAACAGATAACTCTGTTCTATCACGGCTTATTAATGATACTAAACGGAGATATGGAAAACAGATAACTCTGTTCTATCACGGCTTATTAATGATACTAAACGGAGATATGGAAAACAGATAACTCTGTTCTATCACGGTTTATTAATGATAGCTAACGGAGATATGGAAAAGGAAGTTAAACGTGTCCAGGGACAGAAATGGTAGGCTCTGTTTTGGAACGACATGAATTTATCCCTGATTACAGTACTGAATTCTGTACAAATAAGGATGTACTCTGACTGCCAATTAGTAAGGCTGCAAGATTTCCCCAATATCCATGGCCTATCCATGGCCTGGCTCAATCCTTCCCTCACCTACTCCCTGCATCCTCTCTGGAACCAGTAAACCAACAAACTCAGCTCCCAGCAATATCCTATATTATTTTTTATAATTATTTATTTCATTTCTTCTCTCCTATATGACATAAACTCCAGGAAACAATAATCAAGTCTGATTCACCACTGCCTGCCCAATGCTAAGAACAGTGTCTATTCCACTGGTGGTTCTAACAGTTGGAGTTCATAGTCTGTCTGGCTGTCATTCACTACTCTAGACCGTCTAAGCCAATTACAAGCTTTATATTTATCTTTATAAAGATTTATTTATTTATTATGTATACAGTGTTTTGCTTGTATTAATGCTGGCAGGCCAGAAGAGGGCACCAGATCTCATTACAGATGGTTGTGAGCCACCATGTGGCTGTTAGGAATTAAACTCAGGACCTCTAGAAGAGCAACCAGAGCTCTTAACCTCGGAGCCATCTCTCTAGTCTCCAATTAAAGGCTTTAAATGAGATGGGTTGGTAGCATCTAAAGGATTACTTGAGCAATAATAGAGAATTCTCCCTACATGAAGACACCTATGTAAAAAGTTTTATATTTAACAAAGTTACTAAAGTGATTAGTTCATGTTAATTAAAGTACAAACAGATAAGGCAGTTAGCTACTGTCACAGCCTAGATTATGATTTGAAAGGTGAAGGGGTCTAGCAAGCCCAAGCATGGCAAACATGTAACCAATGGGTTTTACCTTTTACCCTTCTCTCCCACTCCTCTGCCTGGCTAAACCATTAGATTACAATCCTAAAGCTAGCCACCAAGGTCCATTCCTTTATTTGACCACTTCCTCCTCTTGAGGCTGACTACCAACATCCAGCTATTAAAGCACTTAAGTCCAGCAATCAAAAGCCCCCTCATTTGGCTCTCCTAATTAACATGCTCAATCAAAACAAACCAACAACATCCTAAGACATGGTTTCTCCTTTACCCTGTGTGAACTCTCATTTGCCTACAGTCTTATCCCTTCTCTATTCAGAGAAAGTCTTTCGTTCCTCAGATCAAATATTCCTTCCCTCTCTCCCTTGCCCCCTTTTCTCTTCTCCCCTAATCCTCTATCCCCTATCACCTGACCTTTGTCCTTCTAGGGCAAACAAACCTCCTTTGTGTTGAAATCTTGGTCTTAGGGCATCTTGTGCCAACTTCAAGGTTCTTTCAGTAGGAATCTCACCTATTAATGAAATGAAAGGAGGCTTAGGGAGACACCACAACAAACTGTCAGCAAAGGAAAGGCAGCTTTGCTTTATACAGATATTGTCTCCACTATGAGGAATGCATTATCTATTAAAATTACTCATGTGTATGTCCTTGTGAAACACACATCTAAAACACACATCTAAGTTAAAAGCTAAGTCAATATACCAAGTTCAAGTAGGTATTAAGTCACCTGAGAAAAAACTGAGGACCTAAAAATACATATGGTTCATAACTTGATTTCTTAATCCTTAAGATACAAAAAAAAGTAAAGCTAAACAATTTCTCCAAGCTTTGTTTCATCTAACAGTATATCTTACAAAATCAAAGAAAATTTGCTTTTAGGAACTCATGGCAATTGAAAAAGGAAGGAAATCCCAAGTGTGAAATGAAAACCTCATCAACTGGGACATGCCAAGTCAATACACTAAGAAACAAGAGCAATTAGTCTCTGCTCCAGCCTGTCAACTTCAAATAGTTATCTAGTCAAAAGTACAAAGTGTTTTCATCACAATACTTTTTATAATTCCTTTTGACTCTCACTCATATGAAAATCTCTCTCACACACACCATGGACTCTTTGTCAACATCCACATGGGCATCTGTTTCATTTAGCAGAAAAAGTTTAAAAGTCGATGCTCAACAATACTCTTCCACATTACATTCCAGAATTTAACATAATTAACAGAAACTGATAAGACAGAAACTATGACAACATTATTCCTTTCTAGTCCCCATAAGCCAGTTGTGGTGGTGCACACCTTTAATCCCAGGCAGAGGCAGGCAGATCCCGGGCATGTTCCAAGACACCCAAAGCTGTACAGGCAGATACTGTCTAAAAAGAAAGTAAAACAAAACACACAAAAAAAGTTATCATAGACTACACATAGACCATGTAAATAATGCATGATTCAGAAGAAATAATAACAGCAAACAGTTGGACAACCTGCAAAATTTCCAAACATTCCTTGACCCATTAAAGGGGGTCCAGGGTAATAAACTACCATAGAGTGAGAAGGAGGTCCAG